TGAGAAGATTCACCGCCTGAGAAGATTCACCGCCTGAGAAAATTCACCGCCTGAGAAGATTCACCGCCTGAAAGATTCACCGCCTGGGGAATCTACGTCTGCCGATTTCCTGGGAGTATATCATATCTTCGCTTATTATCTATGACATATATCAATTCCATACAGCTTTTATCTACGTCCTATAAATCATGACGAGGCTGGCAAGTCGCTACTGTCTTAGGAAAAATTGACCGCTAGGAACAGTACAGAGACTTGAAAAGTTTAACCAGAAGCTAAAATTCCTGCATCGACCATACACAAGTTCGAGCCCCGGGTAACGATGTATGCTTTCTCACAAGGTTGAGGCAATCAGAGTAATTCCTACTTAAAACCGATTAGAGTGAAGTTGGCAAGCCCAGCTGGGCAAAGAAGTATGTATGTCACAACAATCATGCACAGTAGACAGAAAAGCATGTTATCAGTCACTTTTCACATCTCAGGTGGCTTAGCTTTCGATGACTGTGAAACCGCATCCTATGCCAATATAATAATGTATATAACCAATTACACATCAAGATAATTCATGCCGGGGGGGAAGGGTGGTTTATCCACACGCTCATTCTACGCTCCCTTCGTAATGGCGCGATCCCCTTGTCTGCAGTTTCACCTACCTGAAGGTCTAAACAGAGCACACTGTAATCTCCGTTTCCGCTTTCTCCAGGCCTGGTCTGTTCCGTTTTTGGCTCACTGAGCTGCCCGGAGTAGGGGTTGATGCACCGAAGGTTGTGGCCTGAGCGATCCGTGAGCGGTCCCGGATTGTTCCGATGACCGTACCAAGAAAGCTGAACGGTTCGCCCTGATCTATTGAATTGACGGTGAGTAGCACGTGCTACTCATGTGACCCAGATAGACTGCGCACGACCTCTCCATCACATCAAACCCTGTTCGTCGGCTGACCCCTCAAGTGCAGAGATGATCCACCTTGTCAACATTGTGTGGCAAACGGCATTTTATGTCTGGTCGGTGAACTGTTCCTCAATTATATGGCCCTCAAAAATTACAGGTCCCACTCTTTTTGCTTGTACAGCCTAGGCTAGTCATGTTCCTGACGTTGCCAAGGCCAGTTGAACACAATCCTCCAGAGTGAACGGTTCAACTCTCCACCGAGTTATTCTATTCTTTTCGTGCAACATCCGTGAGCGCAGCCGTCATGTCCGACGCAAATAGTGTTTCCACAACGGAATAATTCTATATTGGGTGCCATAGTTGAAAATGTTGAACATACTCATGATGTTCGTCCGCCATGGTCAAAAGTCCCGTATACCACCACCTGAGCATGTCTCTCTTGAGGTGAAAGTTCAATAGCCGAATAAATAAACAACGCGAGGGTGTGGAGTTAGAGACAAGAGAAGAGAATGATCTAAGATTGATTCAGGCAAATCTGTACAATGCCCGAAGAACCAAACGAGCAGAAGTCACCCAAGACGCCCGTCTCACCCAAGCGAATGATGCGACAGAAACGAGACCGGCGTAAAAGGAGTCTTTTACGGAAGGCTTATGAGTACAGCAAGCTGTGTGACGCCGACATCTGCCTGGGTATTCGCATTCGAGAGTCTGGCGAAGTCACCACGTTTCTGTCCGACTATACAGGATTCTGGTCGGGCTTTTCTTCACAACTAGTACGCTTCTGGCATGGCCGCTGTCGGCTAGACACTAACACTGATTAGGAAACATACTATCCGCGACCGATCCGGAAAACAGACAAGGACTTTGACTCAGATCCTACTGATGAGGACAAATCAACCACAGCCGAAACTGTCGGGGCAGCGGGGACGACAGGGGACAAATAATGATTGTGTGAAGCAGACATTGCACTGGTTATCGGCCTGAAGTGCAATGGCCCGATCTTCACATTTTACTCCAACAGCCAGTGGCATCCCTCGCGCGATGAGTTGTTAGGCAACCAATTATTCATTGTAAATAGTAGTGATATTAAAGCCTTTAAGAACACGTGCTGCCCAAAACCCAGTGAACTGACCTGGGTCGAGCTAGCTGCTCAATATGAGATGGGGGAGGCCAAGATGTAAGATATCGCGGCGGTGGAAGCCGGCACTATGAACCCCGGACACGTTACAAGCATGTTTGACTCTGGAATCGCTGTGGGTTTCGGAAATATATTTCCATAGTACACTAAAAGAATAGATATATGTACGTTTAGGTGTAAGGTCGCACGTCCGAGGCGGCAGCTGCCCACACCCGACAAAAAAGCTTCGTAACATGGATCCTCTCGCACAATTTCATACCAACCATGCCACATGATTGTCGGTATATCTTACCACATATTTAACGATCGATGTATTGAGCGAAGATTCTTCTTCACTTCGCAGACCCCGTTGAGTAGCTTTCAAAAAATGATCGGAGTTCTGACTGGTCATTTCTCGGATCCTTACCCGCCCTAGTAGCCAATAAGGAATCTGTATTCATTACACGCCCATGACAAATTGCACTTTTGCGCCTTTTGGCTCGTTAGCCGATGTGGGATGATGCTCTGGAGCATTCGGGCTCATCGCACTCTAACGTTAGATGGCAATCATATAGACGGATGACCGACCAGTTCTCCGGCCTGGTGTGAACGCCATTGGCATTCTTGTGCCAGCTTCTGTTGAGCTCGGCCTCGCACAACTGTTCCGTGACAATATTCTGCATGATTTAGGAGATCAGCTTTCCGCGCAAGCGACTGCATCCCACAGACGTTACATTCCAGCCCTTTGGCCGGCCACGGAGGATTAATATGCTTTCGCTTAAAATGTCTGGTAAGAGAACCCGGCGTTGCATGTTTTGCAGTCCGCTCCTTGAGCGGGAGACTAGGATTTCCCAAACAAAGAAAGCAGATTGTCGGCCGCTCCCTTGGATCCTTGACCCGCACGGACTCTATTGCTTGCCGCAGGGCGATCTCGGTATCATCCTCCAATGTGTGTCGTTGCCGCTTGGCAGGGGCATCGACTTCGTCATTGTCATCGTCAGGTACGGGCCGGCGGCGGGAATGGGTGGTTCGAGGAATCGGTCGTCCCTCTTCCACGGGGCAGAACGCAATCATTGCATTAATCGCGTTAATCCGGCGCTGATACTCCGCTTCGAGGGTGGTACCCGGCATAGTTAGTGTGGCGTCAATTACTGCCAGATGCTGCGGAGGCATGAGGCTCTTGTGCTCCAGAATGTCCATTACTTTTCTGTTTACCAGCTTCCCTGCTAGTTGCTGCTCAATGTCAATGACGGGTTGCTCCTTCCTGTAGCGCTCCAGGTTCTCCCGGATCCGTCGATTTCGTTGTCGCTGCTTCTCATTGCGCAGTTCGCGGCCTGCGATCTTGTACCGCTGCTTCGCTTCTATCGTCCGGTCCTTGAGAAGTTCTAGCTTCTCCTGTAGACGGAGGCTCGGCTTACAATCCTTGAAGCGCTGAGAGATGGCCATATTGAAATGAAGTAGCTTAGCTTCGGAATCTTCCCACTTTTGCTTGCGCTTGTTGACTTTCTCCTGCCGCGCGAGCACCACCGGGAGCTTATTAATGGACTTGGATTCTTCGGCAGAGAGCTTGAACGGTCGATTCGGATCAATAGACGCACTGAACGAACAAGCATACCGGACCAACGCTGTTTGGGACCCTGTTTTCCGGATGATGCCCTGAACGTCGACGTCGACGTCCACCTCATAATGCCGAATAAAGGTGCGAATATCCGAGTGCTGGAGGATGACGTTCTGGAGAGCGTCTGTCACCTCGTCTATCCATTGGGTTAGCGACCCGACGAGCCAGGGACGCGGGATTGAGGGAAGCTTACCACTGTTGTTGAATGCCTTGGCTCCCGCGTATCGGAGATTATACGGGTGACTGACCTGGTCAAAGCCTGTAATCTCACCACCTCGACGCATCCTGGATGTTACCATGGACGCCGTCATCATCTTCTCAAGGACAATTCTATATCCAATAGATTCGCGCTCCACCTGGCAAAACACAAACTTATCCGATAACTCATCTTTCAAAAGCAGCTCCTGCTGCCCCAAGCCATCGAGAATCCTAAGGCTATAGAGTTTCTCCGGAGAATCCAGCACTGGCCCGGTTTTCGAAAAGCTCTTGAAGCCGTTGATGTAAAAGAGCATACTAAGCAGAGTGACATGTGGACTAAGGACCAAGCTTGGATCAAAGATGATTTCTGGGATTTTAAACTCGTTCCTACCATTTTTGTCAGTTGCCAGGCCCCGGAACCCACAGGAATCAACAATACCTACGGAGCTTTCGTTCCCAGGAACCTCTTCGTGAAAGTTGGTTTCAAGAAGATGAACAGCCGAGGTCGTCCGCCTTCCGGATCTCGAATCAGTTTTAGCCCTATATCCTGATAGCGAAGATGAAGAATCGCCCCTGGACGGTTTGCAGTGAGAGCTGCAAGCTGGCAGAAGAAAAGCAGTTGAATACGCTGCCAGCCGCAGACATACGTCATCTCAGTCGTGGTCAAGAGAACACGTGCGAATTCGGCAACATCTTCAATGTACATATTCTTCTTGGGTCGCCGGGTGAGCTCCAGCTTTTTCTCCTTGGCCACAAGAGCAATGACCTGCAAAGGATCAGTTGCTGTTTCTTTGGGTGGAGTGCAGGGCAGTTCATCGCTCACATCTTCAACTTTGACAATAGTTTCCTTGCTCAGCTCTGATGCTGTCTCCTGCTTAAGAACAAGATGCCACCACTTCCAAAATGTTTCCAACGAGCTTTTGTGCCTAATACCTGGACAGTATCGATTGTCTTTGCCACGACGGATATCGCACCTCCAGCAGAAAAAGCCATACAGGAAACGGACCGTCTCATCCGAGTCGGAGATCGACTTCCACTGTAGCACCGGTTCAACGCGAATATGTCGACAGTACCTTTCAGAGAGCGACCGGTGAGCTTACGATCTAGCACGAGGGTGAAGGTGTTTGCCTACTTATCCCAGTATACGCGGGTACCGTCTAGGTCTTCCTGAGTCTTATCAGCGTACCGCTTTTGTCGAAGTTGTGATACATCCAGGCTCTCTGCTTGGGCCAAGTAGGCTTCTGGAGACAACTGGCCCTCATCCTTGGAGTCGTCGTCGAGGCCATCGTCATCGCTATCCGAAACCCCGCTATCGAGATCCGCATCAGTGTTGGAGTCACTGTCAGATCCGATATCAGAAAATATTTCGCTCAGGTCCGAGCTGGCGTCGTCGTCACCCTGACACTGCTTGTTGTCATGTCCGACCGGTCGGGGGCGGGTTACCATCGTTGAGCAGTGTACAGATGACTGGCAGCAAGGTGAATATTTGGAGCAGAAAGCAGGGAGCCGAAAATAGCTGAGCTCAGGAGTAATGAACAGAGTATGGAAGGGACAGGGGGTAAACCTGTGTGAGAAAGGATGGGAGCAAGAAGAAAGGACACTGTCAGCAAGTTTCCTGGAACTGGGGAGAACATGATGGTTAAAAGGAAGGAAGAGGGAGCCATTCTCGGCCCCTCCACAGTGAGCACGGCCGCAGTGAGAACGACTCGCTAGGTAGGTGATGTTGAACGAAATGCAACAAAGAGCTCTTCGAAATATTTGGGCCAGGAACCGGAAGTGAGAGCCCTGCCGTGGAGTGAAGGGCCCTGGCCGTGGTAATACGAACACTGTGATTCTAAGACGCGTGATGGTTAAAGGGACGCTTAAAACAGCCGCCGAAGTAGCCATTTCCGGCCGCCTTTTAACCGTCACATCGATTAATAGAGTAATATAACTGTTTTTAATAGAAGAGAAGACTTTTTAAATTATCTAAAAATTTTAATTAATTCTTTTCTTTTAATTTACTTTAATGAATTATATATTTTATATATTAATATTAATTTTTTAAAAAAAAAGAGACTACAGTAATATATTCTTTTATATAATTTTTAATATTTCCAACTACAAGTTATATAATAAAAAATAGAATCCAAAAAATCTACTAAATTAAGATACTATTTAATTAATACTTTTTTTATTCTAATAATTAATACTAGCTAAACAGAACTATTAACTGATTAAACTAGAAATCTCTGAATTTATCTGGATTATTTATAAAATAAGATATTATATTAAAACCGCCTGTTAAGTAGTAGTCTACACCGACTATACTAGAATAATTAGTATAATTAAATAAATTTAATTAATAATTATAATTTTCCCGGAGAAGTTAAATCTATGCTTAATATAAATATTATAATATCTATAATTTTTTTAATTAAAAATTTATTATAAATCTAAAAAAATATATTTTATTCCAGATGCGCTTTTCTATCTTTCTTTATATTATAAAAATAAACTAGAATTTTATTTACTGGAAGCTTTCTTTAGAATTAATTTAGATTTAAAGATCTGATTAGTAGCTGTTTATTATAATAATTATATAATATATACAGTCCAGCTACACCCGGATTTTACTGAGAAGATTAAATAAAAATATAAAATTAATAAATAATAATCTACTATTTTATAAATTTTATATAAAAATAAGATTTCTATTAATCCGGTCTTCTTGCTATTTTATAAAATAAATAATTTATTATATAATTTTAATAATAATTTTTATATATTATATATACTGCTCCAAGAGATTCTTGAGCTCACGTATAATTAATAAAAATATCCAGATTTAAAATATATTTTGGATTAATTATAAGACTTTATCTTCGACTGTACTAAATATTAAACTAAAATCTATATCTGATACTATCTGGAATATATCAAGAAATATATCTGTTATTATCTTAATTATAATTCTTTCCAGCTAATTATATCTCTATTAATATTATTTTATATTATAATAATTGATATTATCCTTGCTTTACCTGACGGAAAGTATAATATTATATATTTTATTATTAATAAATTTATTAAATAAATAATCTTTATTTTTAATAAAAATAATTAAATAATAATTTAGTAGGCTTAAGCCCTTCTCTATTATTTTATAATAAAAGACTGGAATATATTCTAAGTTATTATCAATGACTGCAACTTTAAATAATCAAGAAAACTCTGGTATATTATCTAAATAAATTTAAAAATAAAACTCAGATATTCTACAGTCTATTATAACTAAATAAATAATTAAAATAAAATAACTAATTAACTGGTAGAGATTTATCTGTGATATTAGATTATTAATTTATAAAATCTCTTTAACTGGTATTTATTATTATTATATACTTAGTCTATATTTAATAATAACCGGAATACATCCACTGATATTTTATTCCATAAACTGATATATAATATATAACTTTCTATTACAACTAATCTTATTCTGTTAGATGATACCGGCTAAGGACTGCCATTCTGTGCTATTATATATAATATTTTATAAATTATTATAATATTTATAAAAAGAGCTTATAATGTGAAGTATAAATTTATTTTCTTTATTAAGAATAATCTTATTATACTTAAATTATATAAAGAATATATTACAGATGCTATTCTTTCTTATAAATTAATAAATTAATACGCTGGTTCTTTTAAAGTTATTAAATAAATTAGATAACTGGTATATAAATTTAATTTTTTTTTAAATTAGAAGTTATATTTTATTATTTTAGTAATCTATCTTAAGTCTTATCCTGGGAAAGATTCTTTTAACAGGAAGATTAAAAAATTAGAACTAGTTTTTATTAAAAATAATATTAATAAATTTAAATTATATAAAATTAAAGCACTGCTTAATAAAAAAATTATTATAATAAAGATTAGTAAAGAAAAATATCTCTACCTTATTAAATAGAAAGAATATAATAATTAATATAATTAATAATACTCTTTAAACTAGCTTTAAAATATAATAAATCTGGTTTATAATTTTAATTAAAGATATTTCTTTCGACCGAAGCATCACCTATGAGACTGTAAATAGTAGATTATTTATTAATTGTCTTATTAATATATATATCTTATCTTATTTTACTTTCTTATCTTATTTTCTTTATTTATTTTATCTTATTTCTCTATCTTATCTTATTTATTTCTTCTATCTTACTTTTCTTTTATCAGTCTTGATAAATAATAACTTCAGTCAACTTAACTTCTTATCTGATTACTTTATTAACAAGGAATTTGAATATCTCACAGACAAATATCTTACTAATTTAAAAACTCTATATATTTTCTTTGATATTATTCTTATAAACCTCAATGCTGATGTCCCTGAGTAGTAAACTGAGAAGATTATATTAGATATTATCTTAATTAATATTTTTAATCTTGCTCTCTGTATTTAAGTATTTGAATAATATATTAATAGTCTTTGTTATATTTTATATAAATACTACTATAATACTTCTCAAGAACTCTGGGTCGCTATTAATAAATTCTAAAATAAGTACAGTGTTAATATCATATTATTCCATAGAATTCATGATATACCAAAAACTAAAAATAATAATACTTTAATAAAATCTAAATATTATAATTATTAATATACTAATGCTTCTTCGTCTCTGGAATTTAAATGGTGTTGCAAGTATACACCCGAATTTATACTTACTAAACCAGATATTATTAATTATAATATTAAGAAAAATAAAATATTATGTTTTATCTATACTCCCGCCCAGTTGAGGACTGACTGGTGAACTTATATAATAAATAATTTTTAGAATATTAAGTTAGTACTGTCTAAAATATCTAAAAAAACTGAAATAAAAAATAAATTTATTTAAATAAAATAAATAACTAATTTACTCTCTAAATTATTACCTATTACCGGTGTAATAATAATCCAAGCATTTGAATCCGTTTATTTTAAATCCGAGATAGATAACAGCTTTTAGAAATTTATAATTATAAATAAATAAATTATTATAGAATCTATAATTTAATTAATAATAAAGTATATAAGCTGTAATATTAAATTATATTTTATTAAAATTAATTTTATTACTTTTCTTACTTGCTTACTTAATATTAAGAATCAAGCGGAAGAGCTTATATGATATTTTTAATATAAGTAAATTTAATAAAAATTTAATCTTTTATATTATTTAGGAATAATTAATAAGAAGATACTAATAAATAATTTAAATAATATTTAAAAAAAATCTAGTCTTAATCTTATTAGTATATAAAAATTATATATAATAATTATCTGCTCTGTTTCTTTAATTATATATAGCACGAAGGCCTGATGGTAACTGTTCTATTTTTTAAAATTTATAAAATAAAATTAATAATTATAAAGATTAATATAGAATTGGGGCTTTTATTTATAAATAATCTTTCTACTTTCAATTATAATAAAAATAATATCACTGACAAGAATAATACTACTAATAATATTAATATAATTAATAAATTATTTAGTTCTCTTTCTACCGCCGCTCGCCTGACTGCTCATTTATTAACTGATAATAATAGTCTTTTATTTATATATTCTAGTCTAAATTTTCTATCTACTTGACATTTATAATACTTTTTTACTAGTTTTATAGCAGTTAATAATCTATTATATATAAGTATTTTATTTTATATTTAACCTGATTTAGATTAATTAATATTTATTATCTTGATCTAAGACTTCACTGCTGTACTAGATAATAATAATATATAAAATATATTTAATAATTTCTTAGATTTCATTAATTACCCAGGAGAGGACAACGCAATTATAAAACTGATAATTAAAAAGATATTCAAGAAACTATTTACTAAGTTAATTAATATATTTACTAATTCTGAATCTCTTACTAAGTATTCCAGTAACTTTAATAATATATATAATATTCTGATTCTAATTAAATCAGGGACCAACATCGCATCTAACTCTGATAATGTACCGACAGCATCCTATGATACTAAGAATAATAATACTATTACTGTTAAACAGTAATTATATACTTTCTATTTCTAATATTATTCAGAATATATCGCCTGATGCTCTAGTTTAAATACAGTTATTATTACTATTACCAAGCCGCCCAACAACTCTGTTGTTGCTAGTTTATAATTTATCATTACTAGTCCACAACTGTCTTCTATCACCATGGCAGAAAAGGAATCCTATATAAAACCTCCACTGACTAATACTAAGTTATCTTATCAGACTAAAATAGAACATCTGAAGATCCCCACTAATACTACCCACATTTAAACTACTACTACTACAGACAATAACGTTATGGCGCAACTCTTAGATCTAATCGGTACCATAAGCACGCGCTTGGCTGGGTTGGACGAACGGCTGGACCATGTCAAATAATATAAGTAATTTATTTCTTTGA